TAAATAAATAAATAAATAAATAAATAAATAAATAAATAAATAAATAAGACAAGGGGGTGAGTGATCCTAACAGCCTGTGAGTTTTTTTCAAAATGGCCTGTGTTTCAGAGCAGACGAAGTTGAAAGATTCTGAGTACCCGCTGATATCCAGAATCCTGCATGGGCCTTGTGAGAAAATTGTCAAGATCTTCTTGATGGAGGCTGACTTGAGTGAGGAAGTACCCCATGATGTGAGTGGGGCCGAAGCTGATGGCCTGTTCCACAGGGAGGGGTCGGGAGGCAAGGAGGGAACTCTGAAGGGAATTTTGGCTGGGATCCCCTCAGCTCTCATGTCAGCTTAGGGGACAGAAGAGCTAGAGTCCTAGGAGAGCCCAGCCCTGCCCTCTTCCTCCTAAGTAAAACCCTTTCCTTCAACTGGGGCACACTTTTGCTGTTACCATGTTAAAGACCCATGGAAAGGCTCCTCAACCAGGGCCAACTCCAGGGTGATGGATGCTAAGTCTCAGTGGTCAAACTGTAAGTGTAAATCCAGCACTCTAAACAGAAGGGCTTGTAGAGTTTGGGCCCCCAGGAAGACCTTGTGGCTTTCTCCCTCAGCTTCCCAGGGCTGGTACAGTTTCAGTCCATTGTTAAAGCACAATGGTGTTCCCACCCCCTACCCATGCTAAGTGCACTCAGCGTGACAATGACAAAGACCTGAGTGCTTTTCCTAATATTCAGCTCAGTGTTTCCTCCAATAGATGATCATTGCCTTTGAGATAAGAGCAGCCCCCATTCTCCCACCAAACAGTGGAGCAATGTCGGCGGCAGGGTGGGAAGACAGGACTTTCGCTGGGACCACTATGGAAATCACATCTCAGGCTTCTCATCTAAAGCACCTGTTAATGTTCCTGGATTTTCTAGGTCGCCCAGTACATTAAGTTCGAAATGCCGGTGCTGGACAGTTTTGTTGAAAAATTAAAAGAAGAGGAGGAAAGAGAAATCGTCAAACTGACCATGAAGTAAGCAGCATTTCATCAGCCAGTCATGGTCCTGGCCATTAGCGGACATCTGCAGGGCATACCTCTGTCCAAGCGGGCGGGTTTCTCTCCTTCCATGGACACCAAGTGCAGCGGGGAGGCCTGCTGACCATGGAGACCCAGTAATGCCCTCCCGCCTCACTGCTCAGTACTGAGAGCAAGCTGCCAGCCATTCATCCTGGGCCTCTTCCCCAGCAAGGGGCTCTGGGTATACGAAACTGGCCGGGAAAGGCAGAGGCAGGGGCATGGTGGACCCTGGGTTGCTTGCTAATGACCAGGTTCTGGGGATGCAACCACAGAGAGTCTGCTGGCTAGAGCTGGCTAGTCCAATGCTTTTGCACTGAAAAGAAGTCTGAGCCCAGTGGGAAGCAGTGATTATGGCCATTCAGCTCTGGCTGCTGTTTGGGGTAACAAGGGTCACCAGCCAAGCTTGCATCGGGACAGGCCCTATGACATTAATGATGCCTTGGGTCCCGATAATCTGTTTTTGTTTCAGAGATGTGTGGTGTGGGACAGGATGTGTGTAGAATGTTCACGAGGGCTGGGTGGGCGAAGGCCAGCTGCTCTGCTCTGAGAGACTGGGAGTAGGAACCAGCTTGAATTCTGGCTTCACACTAATGATGCCTGGAAACCATATCCGCCTGCAGGCTTCCTTTTGTGCAGTTGGGCCTCACTCAGATTCAGTAGAGGATCTAGAGTAAGCGGCCCATCGGTGACATTGCTATAGAGTTAAAGACAGAAGGAACTTGGGAATCTCCTGGCCAGTAGATTCAGGGTGAGGAGAGCTGCCCCAGGCCCAGGCTAAGGATACCACTCAGGTTATTTGCATGGCCTTGGGCTGGGATACTGTCTTCTTGAAGCCCGATCTATAGCTCTGATCTGCATCCCAACACATTCCTGTCCCAACTAGAGAGTCTGGAATAGAATGGCCAGCACTTTTCTTTGAAGCTTTGCACAGTCCTCTGCCCTGTTGAGTCTTCTTGGTGAAGGACAGAGGTGGTAGCTGCTAATTAGCCAACGAAGAGCAGTGGTCTTCTCGCTATCTCTGCCCTCACCTCCCTAGCCCTCCAGCTGACAGTGAGACCTCTTGGCTTTGTCTCTCTCCAGGTTCCAAGCCTTGCGGCTGACAATGCTGCAGCGTCTGGAGCAGCTGGTGGAGACCAAGTAACCAGCTAGTTCTTGTCTTTCGTGATGCTTGTAGTAGCAAGTGTGCACAGAGTTCCAGGGACCCAGCCCTAACTGATCACTGACCGATGGCTGCTGTCTAAGGAATCCAGTACCTATGCTCCTTCTAACCTGTCCACAGACTAAATAGCATCCTGAATCTCTAGTCTTGCCACTGTGGTGAGCATGCTCAGACACAGACCCAGGAACTTGCTAGCCAGGATCTATGTGCAAAGCCAGCCTAGGTGGTAATAAAGAGCCTTGGAATTTCAGTACCAGTCACACTGCATGGTTGAATAGCATGGCCATTCCTGTTCATGAATATTTCCAGCTTGAGAGATCAGCATCGCACTCAGCCCCTGGAGCATGGGCTTCATCTGCCTGCCCAGTGCCTGTCCCGGAGCCGCTGCATGGCCACAAGTCCCTTCCCTCATCATCCATGTGAACGATGAACTCCCTGTCTTCCCTTGCTTCTTATCGCCACTCAGGAACTCCGCTGGAGCAGGAGCTGCCAGCAGCTATGAGACATGTCCTACTTCCAACCACCGCTTCACCATGGTGTCCTGGCCTCCAAGCCTCCTTTCCTCAAATCAGGACTAAGGACTACCAGTATTCCATCAGCTTTGGCAGAAATCAGCCTTAACTTCTGAGTGTGACCCTAAGAAATCCTTAAAAGGAGCTGTCTTCAAGAAATACACCCACTGAATTATGTTGGGGACTTGCTTTGGGTAGCATTGAAACCATACTGGCTGGCAGTAGCTCCAGAAGGCAGCGCTCAGTCCCCTTCGCTGCCATCTTGTGGATGCCTGTATGCCTCTTGCCTTCTTTGGGACTGAGCTTCCCTCTAGTGAGGAGGGACAGCTCTCAGTACTTCCTAACAAAGCCTGGCAATAAGGGGAAATGCCTGCTTGGGGACGAAAAGCTTCTAATTCCTTTAGGCCAGGTGCAGAACAATTTGTTTGCTGACTGATGGAAACTTGTGGAATGAATGAGGAAACTTCATTTGTGAAACTATGCAACAGTTCACAACATAAGTCATGGGAGTGTTCGTCTAACAGAGCAAACTGAAGGCTGACTTCTTCCCCTGAGGTCTGCGGACAGTAGATTTAAAGAGAAGTATGATGAAGGCCTTCAAAGATAGTTTCATCTCCAATGTGGAAGACATGGAAGCTACCATGGAATCCTGAAGAGGAGAGCTTGAGAACAGCTGTGCTGTGTGGAGCCAGTAGGGAGGGGAGATCACACCTGGATTTTCCAGACCCAGCTCTGTCTTCACGGAGACACTTAATGGCCAAGGGGGTTCTTTTGCTTCCTCGCTCCTTTGGCGCTGTACTTTCTTAGGTGCTCAATAAAGGTCTGTTATGTTGAACGGAAGCTGCAGGGGCCAAGCTTTCCTGTGCTTTTTCTTTTTCCTCGTGTTTATTGCCTTGACCCATTCTTCCAATCTCCGAAGCTCTTATACTACACAATGAAGAGCTGAAGTTGACAGAGGAACCAACCACCCACAATGACAGGACTCTTCATTTCATGCATGGGCTGAAAACTGGTGTGAAGCCTGAGGCAAGGCTGCCCTACACAGGAACACAGAAAAGGTCTCACTGGTGGTGGTCTGTGGGTAGCCTGAACAACAGAGTCACCCTAAACTGCAGAATTTTAGCATCAGAAGTGCATAGGAATCTTTCAGCCAGAGGCTCGGGAGTTGAAAACAAACGCAGCAGGAACTCCCGGGTCATTTTGCTGCCTGGATTTGTAGCCTCGGGTCTACAACATCTGTCTGTCTGCCCGTTGTTCAGTAATTCATTAACTTGGTTGTTTTATGCCAGGCCTGTACAGGATCCTGGAAGAACAAAGATGATGCCTTAGTAATTCTTCATCCAGAGAAGCAGACATGGAGGCTGGGGCAGTTGAGCGCCTGAGAAGAAGGCTGGATATTGAGCAGACAGTGGTGCTGTAGGCCAAGAGATGCCTTCCATTCCTGAGGCAGGAGACTCAGTGCTTGGGGAAGCACTAAAACAGGAAACCCTGCAAGCAGCAGCCAGCTTGGTGGCGTTTCACAGTTGTCAAAATATCATTAAAGGCTTTTAAAAATACATGTTACTTTTGAAATGTTATCAAAACTAATCTCTGAGTATTGGCTGGGAAAAGCTCTCTAGAGTCGCACAGAAAAGGAGTGTGTCTTCCGCTGCACTCCTATGAAGTGTTCACGGATATTAAACCGATGGTGCCACACTTGCCGTTCGGAGGCAACTGAAAAAACAGCCTTGGCAGGGCATGGCAACACTGGAACTTGAGGCCTCGGAGGCTGAGGTTTCACAGTGCGCTAGGGCTAGCATCTGCCGTGGCATTCACAGCCTTTCTGGTATATCCCTGCATATCTCAGACATAAAGACTTTATCTACAGATAAAGCGACGATCTGGTCAGAAAGTACTGTCTTCCAAACAGGTCCGTTCTCAGAGCCTAGAGCAGGAAACAGCAGAGGATGAAATCAGCATGATCACATGATTGCAAAAGTCCCGAACTCAACTCGGGATAAACAGGTTTGTTTGTCCAGAACAAATGACCAGAACAGATTAAAAACAAGAGAGGGAAAAAACAGAATTGTTTTTCTGAAGCGATAACCTTTAGACTTTCTCAATGACAAAACAGAGCCTTTCTCTGGGATACAGCTGGCTCTTTGGTCCCAGGGCAAGGAGAAAGGGCTCATGGAGTCTGCCCAGGTGATGTAGGAATTGGAATTAGACCAACTGTGCTGTGCGGGCACAGCTGCAGAGAGACAGGCCATGGGCTATCTTTATCAGGGATCGTCCACCAGGTCCTCCTCAGTGGCAAGCAGGAAGCCTGGGAGGTCACAGCCAAGCAGTCGCAAGTGTAAAAACAACCAGATACATGTACTATTTTTAGGCCCAACAACTGCACTTGGGCATGAGCCAGCTGTCGACGTGCTGGGAGCCTCGCAGAGCCTGAGGTGGGGTTCTATGCCCTCCAGCGGGTCTGTGACAAAGGTTTTCTACTGGTCCAGGAGTTGGAATTCCCAGGGTTTCCTTTTCCAACTAGCCCAAAGGAAACAAAACAAGGCCTCAGGCTTATCTGACAGACTCATTGTCCTGGGCCATGTGCTGAAGAACACTTTGGGAAAAATACACTATGCTTGTCCCTATACTCATTCAAGGGACCAGCTTTGCTGCACCTGGACTGTGGATCAATCTTACCCATGACAGCAACACACCCCACTGACATAGTGCTTATTTGTATACATGCATGTGCACCTACGTGGCATTAACACACATTATGTGAAAAAAACAGGGTCCAAGGAACAAAACCATAGGAAAGGGAAGGTGCCTTGCTAGGCTGTTTCTCAGCTTGCGTTGTTCTAGATTTTTGGTGTTCTAGATTTTTGTTGTTGTTCTAGAGTAAACTCTTCTGCTATCCAATTCACTCTGGATAAGAGGCACCTGTGGTGCCTTTCTCTGGAGAAGCTACAGCCACTGAGTCTAGCTACTCTTCCCTAAAGCTCCCCAAAAGGAAGATCTGCCAGGCGCTCAGGCCAGGGCCTCTCATTTCACCCTGTGCCTCCTCCGTCTCGGTCTAATGACTACATGGGACTGCTCTTCACAATTTAATTTACTTAAAAATGGCATGGCTCCAAAGCTTGACCCTGTAAATGCGTACACGTGAGCGCTTCACAGCATGAGATTAAAAAATGGCTCAGATAGGCCCGGGAGTGCAGAGTATAACATCTCGGACTCACAGGGAGAAGGATCCTCATATCTCAAATAGGAGCAGACAAGTGGGGGCTGCAGCCAGCCAGTGTGTACCGGTCTTTCTCTGAAGCTGTTGACATGTCCAGCATCACTTAAGAAAAAAGTTGTGTGTCAGGGACCAGCACAGAATGCTTGGGGATCTTAACAGCTTTGTCTGTCTTGCAGGACTGGCGGTGTGGGCCAAAGTCAGCTGGTAGGCAAACATGGTGGTTGTGGTGAACATGCCTAGAGTCATGGCATCCTGAGTCCTATACCAGGAAAGTTACTAGCCTCCCTTTTATCATCAGTAAAATGGAAGTAATAATGGTTCCTGCCTCTCAAGGTTGGTGAGAGTCATATCTTCACTACAGGGACAGGCAATGCCAGAAGTCTCGGCATCACAAGAGACTTTACGCCTCTCAAAAGCTGTGGGCCTCTATCATGGCCATGGCGTGTTCACGTGGCTCAGTTCTGTTCCATGTGTATCCTCATCCAGTTCCAAACTCCTTGGGACATGTTATTATTGGAGCAGAGGGAAAGAGCAGAGCGACAGCAGAAGCATGTGTCTCAAGGCTGCTTCTGGGCCTGGGTCGGCCTAGCATCCACTCTTGTTCTTGGCCCTGATAAAGTCCTCATCCGCAGATGCGCACATTACTCACCAGGGCAGTGGTGCTCAACCTTCCCAATGCTGCGACCCTTCAGTACAATTTCTCATGTTGTGGTGATCCCCCCAACCATGAAATTACTTTCGTTGCTACTTTGTAACTGTAAAAGTGCTACTGTTATGAACCATAGTAAATATCTGATATTTCCAATGGTCTTAGGCGACCCCTATCAAAGAGTCATCTGACCCCACAGGTTGAGATCTGCTGCACTAGGGACTCTGAGAGTCACCCCTCAAGTAAGCAGGAGTACAAAAATCAAAGGTGTCCCGCATCCCCTCGTAGGCATTAGTCATGTGATGAGAGTACTGAAGACCTTAAAAGTTCCTCAGACAGTGCGGTGCCTGGCACACAATAAAATATTGTTCTACTGACACGCACGGACCCTTGATTGTCTGTGCCCTCTTTTTCTTTGATGCCATGTCTTCCCCTGGCCCAGGCCTCTCTCCTTGCTTACACCTCCCCCTGCCGCCACCTTTCCACTCACAGTGACTTTGCTCATAGCTTTCCTGACATTTGTCTCCTTTAAAAAACCTTTTTTGCCTGACGCTCTGCTCTGAACAGATGATCTACCTCCAAGTGAGGCATCAAAAAGGCTTATGATTCGTGACTGGTAGTCCCATTGTATTTTTGCTCCCGATGTTTTGCCTACTCCACCAGCACCCACAACTGCTGCCCCTCCCACCAGTAGCACCAACAACATGGAACAACAATTTAGTAATAAAAGTAACAACAAATCACGTTTCTCATGGGTTGTGCAACATTTCTGTCCCGACTTCATCTCTATTGCTGTGATAAAACGCTATCTGCAAGCAACTTAGGGGAGGAAGGAGTTTATTTCAGTCAGCCGGCCCACAGCTGAGGGAAGACAGGGCAGGAACTGAAGCAGAAAGCCTGGAGGACTGCTCTTTGCTGGCTCTCTCGCAGCCTGTTCGTAGCTAGCTTCCTTATATAAACCAATACCATTGCTCAAGGAATGGTGCTCCGGACAGTAGGCTGGCTCCCTCTACACCAACTAATGATCAAGACGGTTCCCCACAGACATGCTCACAGGCCAATTTGATGTGGTGAGTTCCTCAGGCAGGTCTTGCCTGTCAGAAGACTCCAAGCTGTGTCAACTTGACGATTAAAGCTAACGAGAACAAAACTGTACATTATTTCATTCCATCTTTAAGAAAGTTCAGATAGCATCTGTCTTACTGAATTAAGTCCAAGATGCAAAGGTTATGAAGCTCCAAGCTCTGTCATCTGCAGAAGCAGCGCCCCCTGCTGGCCAGAACTCTTTAGCCAGAACTATGAACTCCTGAAGCAACTATCTGGCCTCCATTTACATATCTGCCTGACACACATGGTGAGCCCTGCTTTGTGGGAGTGTAGATAGAAGATGAATGACAAAAACACTGATGTGAAAGCATTTTGTAAGCGAAGGAGCATCTTACCAGTATGTTCATGCAACAGGTGTGTGATAAGAACCTGCTGCCTGCCGAGCACAGCTCTTAGCACGGCAGATACAAGTCTGACACACTATGTCATGTCAGAAGGCTTTGGGAGGTTTCGGACACACAAATGGCACCATCTGAGTTACGTTTTAGAAGGTCAGTCTGAGCTGTGAAAGGATGCTTGTCGGGAAGCAAATGCAATCATAAAGACGGGGTGGGGAGGTGCACACCCAAGGCTCTGTGAGGGTTGTGAGAGTAGGGGCACAGAAAGGGGCTTGGTTCTGGACACACTGCAAAGACAGGCCCAGCAGAATGTGTTTTGGAAGTGAGGGATGGGGAGCTAGAGAGATCGCCGCCAGGCAGGCAGGCAGGGGGAGGGGCCACAAATAAATAACAAAGTTGACAGGCTCCCAGCCTCTTTCTTACCTTTCTAACCTGAGACTAAGGCCTGATGGACTTTTCTTCTGGCTGACTGGACCGGGCTGTTCAAGACCAATCCTGAGCCTGTTTCCCTATAGCCGTGGATCTCTCAGCTCCTCTTTCTCT